ATGTTCCAAAGCTGGAACAGCTAGCAATAATTTACTTAGCTGTGGGAGCAACACACCTAGTTCTCAATCCGAGAAGGGGGCTCGATCTACATCATGTTCCAATGCTGGAAAGGCTAGCAGTAGTTTACCTAGGCTGAGGGAGTACAAACCCAGCTCTCCCGCGAGGGGGCTGGACCTGCAGCATGATTGTAAAATCAGAAGGGTAAGCATACTGCAAGCTAGTCAAACACTCAGCGCATCAGGGAGGCAGAGAAAGGGCCTAATACACCTGATGCTGCTGGTGCCAGGTGCTCTGGAAAAACAGAGAACTCAACTTCTCATGTGAGAGGAGAACGGGAAACCCCTCTTCAAACTCATCGGCCAGATCCACCTGCGATCCCCACGAGCTCATTCCCTTCCGTGCCTCAGCAGTGGCGAGTCCTGGATCGCGGGAAGCAGATGGCTGCCCCTCTTTCCTCGAAAAGAGAGACAAACGAGAGCGGAGCTTTTTTCCTTGGAAAAAACGCTAGCAAGGCACGCCGATTGCCCACTCGGAGACATCGCGTGCGTGCTCTTTGCCCAAACAAAACAACGCATAGATTGTGTGTGTCATCAGATGTTAAACAACGTCAACACGGATGCACACATCCTTAAATGCTTTGCTAGTGCTCACCATAATGAGATAAATAGAGATCGCTCTTACCACAGAAATGCACGCTTCAAACAAAACAGTCAATGAAGACGAAGAAGAGAATGATGTGTAGCTCCCGGCGCCTATTTATACTATAGTCACACCGGTAGTGACGTCATGGCTGTCGCCGGCCAACGAGTTGGTGTTTTTTCAATGTATGCTTCAGACACGGGTCACGACGAGGCGTTCCCCATAGCGACCCCTAGAGGACGCAGTTCGAAGTTCCCATGAAAGGGAACAGGATAATTTCATCATACTGCGTGCGAGCTCAGCATTTGATGCTGTATTAGGTCAAAAAAATTACATTTTATGTTTTTTTTCGTCTTCTGTTGTGTCTGTAGGCTGGTGGTTTGTCAGCACAGCTGAAGAACAAGGCTGGGTTCCTGCCACATACCTGGACTCTCAGAGCGGCACCAGAGATGATCTGGACTTGGGAACATCTAGATCTGGAGAAGGTAGGACACTAAATATACTCTCTCTCATACTTTCCTTTTGAACATCTGCACAAACATTCTTATACCCCAAGAAATCTTGACCAACACCAGTATACAGTGGTTTGCTTCACATTCATTGAACAATCAATACCCAATACTGTATATCTATCTTGGAGGATAAAATCTGTATCCCAAATTTTCCTTGAGCAACTTCCACTTGCTTATGAGAAGAAGTGAGGGCTTTGGGATTGTGAGAGATCATCGATTGCAGAAGGAGAAATGAAGGAAAGAAGGAAGGCTCTCTCGCTCCTTCATGAAAGTGTTGCTTTTATTTCTTTGAATCTAATAAATCTAGATAATAAATATCTAGCACTAGTACATTGGTTTTATTTCATAGCATGTCATAACTGAACACCACATTGAATCGGGGTGCTTCTTTAACTATAAGAACTTTTGGCCCTGTGGACTTTTTAAAACATTTAGACAGAAGTGTGAGCTTTTATTAACTAGTTTATTTGTTAATAGTTTTTCCCCCCAAAGGTATTTATTTGTTTAATGAAAATCCCCACCACTGTGTCATTTCTACCACATTTTAAGTTACATGTTGTATTTATTAGCATTATGTGGTTGAAACGACAGTAGTTTCAAACATTTTGTAATAAAATGGCTGACTCCTGTCATAGTATTTTATATAGCATAAATTCACAAAAGTAAACAAGATTTTCACACAGTTTGTAAAATGTGCACTCAAAAATGAATGCGAGTTTGCAGTTGGTTGTGGAGGGACAGGGTTTAAGCAAATTAAATTTGGATTGGAGATGTCTGGCATACGTCACCAGAGAGAGATTTGTCGTTTTCTGACTTGGAAGGTTGAAAATTTGATTAAACATTACAATGTCTAAATAAATAAATCAAATCAAATCAAAATAAAAAATGAAAAGTATATGTACATGTATGAATCATTCACCATAAGATCCATAACATGTATTTGCAAAAGAAATATGGAGAATTTTCATTTCATGTCAACATCAGTAAACATCATCTCCTGGAACATTGACCGAATTTGAAGAAACACCCATTTGTTATCTCACTGCAATGAAACACACATAAAGAACCGTATCATTATAAATATGTCCTCCTCTACTGTCCAAACTTCAATCATCTGCTGCCATCAGCATTTCCTGGGTTGAGTTTCCTGTTTTAGCCAACCACATTTTTAGCTGCTTCTTGAAATTTATGCCACTGAAAGACTCAATGTGTAAGATTAGGAGTGGTCAGGCCGAAGATAAAGCTTTCGCTACTATCTTTGTCTAAGTTGGATCGATGCATCCTCACACATGCACACAATTTATTGATCCATGAGGAGTAATTTACCTTCCCATATGGCCACAACGGCTTCATTTCTGAATGTAGCTGCAGTTTTTTTTAAGCTGAACTTTATTTGAACTAGACCATCTTTAGTTCGACTTTTCTTTCGTTTTGAATCTATGGAGTTGATGAGTGGTAAAGCCTCTGTAAACTATATGAAGTTTCCATTCTGTAAACACAATAAAACTGTAAAACACCATACATTTTTCAGACTTTACCATCCCACAGTATAACGTGCGCCACTAAAATCGAATAACACATGTATTAATCCAAGTCCTCCTTTGCTTTGCCATCATTGTTCAAGCCAAGAACCCTCCTAACCAATCACAAAACTCTTTTCTTTCATGTAATAATGTCTTCATTACACTAATACCAGTGTTCCTCTTGAGTTGTTTATGTTGAGTTTGTCATGTCTCTGTTCTCTTTCTGCTGTCTTCATTCATCCGTGTCAGTTACTAAGAGACGTAAGGCTCATCTGAAGAGGCTTGACCGGAGATGGACACTAGGGGGAATAGTCAACCGCCAACAGAGTCGAGGTGAACACACATGCAATCACGCATGCCTGCATAGACTGATCACGTGCAAGCACTCACCTGTGTGACCAATCTGCATGGTGCGTTTGTGCTGGTTTACACAGTGATTGGCTTAAAATGCACAAAACACGCTCTTTAGAAACCTAAACTCTCTTTCTGGATCCAACTTCTGGATCTGGCTCCCAAAGCATGCTGGGTAGCCTGTTTCATATGCAAGCCATCATAAAATCTGTTATAATCATAAATTGTGTTTACTTGTGTATGAATTAAAAACAAGATAATTCAGTTTGTTTTTAGATGAAGAAAACAGTTTTAAAATAAAGCAGAGAAGTTATTTTTAAGATGTTTTTTAGGATGAAGACTGGTTTAGAATAATATAATAATTCTGAAATATTGTAGTGTGATATATAGATTAGAAATTTCATGTATGGCATTAGAGTACAGAGTTGCAGAATCATGTTCTTAAGACTGGTTTATGGTAGTAGTACTGATTTGTTGCTGGTTTAACTGGTGGACCAAAATATGTTGATCAGCCAGCTTGATCTTCTTACTTTTGTAATGACCAAATGACTTTTGCCAGTTAAGACAATTTAAAGAGATACTTCACCCAAAAATCTAAATTCAGTTAGGATGTCTAGTCTCCCTCATGCCATTCTAAACCTGTACGGAATTCTTTCTTTTACAGAACACCAAAAAATATCTTGAAGAATGTTTTTTTCCATACAACACAAGTCAATGAGGACCAATGTTGTTTTAGACCCCTGTTGACTTCCACTGAATGGGCAAAAACATTCTTTAAAATGAAATCATTTTATTGTTGGTGTTCTGCCAGAGATAGAATGTCATAATGTTGAATTCAGCTGAATTTAGTCAGATCCTGTAGTTTGGCTACATGTCAAATAATTGATATAAACAGTGCATAAACTCTAAACTCGAGGTAGAGGATGAGTTGAATCACGCATGAGGTTTGACCTTTCAAAATCACAGTGTTTCATTCTAAACACCCAGACCGCAAATGAGGATTAATGTCTTGACCTTTGCTGGAAATGTGTGTTTGTATGGTAAGGAGTCTCCTTGGAGATCTTTCGTTTCATGTTGAGTCATAAGAAGAATGGACCTCCAAGCTTTAGAGTTGTAATTCCCGCAGTTTTCCATTTGTGTAGCGTTGGAGTATGCTAACATACCATGGACACCATGAACATGGCTCTAAGTAGAGCATGCTGGACCTGGAATCGGTGGAAGCACATGCTAAGAGCTTTTCCATGCTGGATTGGCAGGTGGATGAATAATAACCTGTCTGGGACTGGGTGAATATCTCCTGACACTAATAAGATATGAAATCCCAGGTCTTATGGGATGAGTCTGTTCAAACATCTGTTCTTCAGAAACCACCACTAAAAACCCTGGTAAACTGATATTTTGGATTAAAATTGTACATGGATTGTTTATCTCTTCTCTTTTGATATGGACTTTGGTTCAATCAGGTTTAGATTGAATGTGACACTGTTACAGTAACTCATTATTTCTCCCTTACTTTGCTCTGCATGATTGGAGCAGTTGTTGGAAACTCGCAGTGGAAAGTATAGAAGTAGGTCATTGGCTCGCTGTGTGTGACTGCATTTAATCCAGATTTTTTTTACTGTATATATACTAATGAGTCAGAGAGCACCATGGATGATCTGGAGACAAAGAGCAGCCAGTGGTTTCAGAGGGAACTTTTCTCCATAAACGCAAATTGCAACCTTCAAAACAGGTCGGGGTAGTGAGTGTTTCAGAGTGGATAAAAAAAAAAAAACTTGTCTTTTGTAAAGCACTGGTTTCAAAACTCATATTTTGTAGAGCCTCAGTTACAACTAAGCAAGTTCTTACAAAATACATTTGATTTTAGAGGAAAATTCTGTTTGTTTACTCGCCCTTATGCTCCAAACCAGTATAATTTTTGATTTGTAGGTAATATGCTTCCATATTCCACAGAAAGAGATGTTAGGCAATATTGTTTTTTTTCCATAAAGTGAATGGGGACCAGGAGCTGTAAAACTCCAGAAATAACCAAAATACATAATAAAACACCACAAAAGTCATGATGTTGAATGTTTTATTAGTGGATAATGATTTAAAAGGCTAAAAGGGTTTGTGTTCATGAATGCATGTCAAAGACTGACATGGAAGAAAATAAATTGTTGAATAAAATAATTTGCACACAAAAAGTATTCTCGTAGCTTCATAAAATTAAGGTTGAAACACTGATGGCACATGGACTATTTTAATGATGTCTTTACTACCTTTCTGGGCCTTGAATATGGTAGTTGTATTGCTGTCTATGGGAGGATCAGAAAGCTCTCGGATTTCATCACAAATATCTTAATTCTTGTTATGGAGATGAACGAAAGTCTTACAGGTTTGGAACGACATGAGGGTGAGTAATTGACAGAATTTTCATTTTTGGGTGAATTTTCCCTTTAAACTTCTGTATTTTACTCATACAAAGTTATATGTTCTTAGTACACTCAGAATATACAGTAGCATAAAATGCTGCATGGTCCTTTTTGTCATTCTTGGAGCTTGACAAAACATGGTCTCGTTACATTTTAATAAGCAACATCAGCATTCTCCTAAGTTTCTCCTTTTCTGTTTTATGAGAGGACAAAACACTTGTAAAGGGTTCAGAATGATAAAAGTAGTAAATGAACAATTTTTGGATGAAGTATTCAGAAAGTGTAGAATTCAGCAGTGGGAACAGCTCAGATTCAGACAGAGCCTGCTGGATCCAGGCATTTGGTTAGCTTGCATGACTTGTTAAAGCAAGCAAGTTTCAGAAAGATCAATGTGATAGTTAGAATGATCTGTGTCCACAATCTCTCTCTCTTAACTTGTTTGTACATATAGCAGTGTTTTTTAGGTCACAGAGGCTGAGGGAGAAAATTCCTTTGTTGGCACATCGCTCCACAAGTGCATGCAAAACTGAAGTAATGTGTTCTGGACCCACCTGACTTTTTCCACCATCCAGAACAATCCTCCAAGAAAATACTGCTGACTGGTGGAAAAAGTGTTTTGAGGCATTTCTTTTTTTAATTATTTTTTTGGCTCTTGCATTTTTACCCCGATATCTCTCACTCCTGTTGGTCTTGATCAATCCACACTATGACTTTCTTCTGTGGAACTCAAAAGGAGATCAAGTGATCAAGTTTAGTGTTCTTGCTAAAAAAATATTTTTTTCTTTTGACTTCTGATTGATTGACCCTACCAGGTATTTCCTATGGAGGCTTACCATTATTATTGTGTCTTGGGCTGTGTTGCTGTAGTTACTTTAGTCCCACTGTCTCCTGGAGGATTTGTTAGTGTTAATATTAATGACGGATTGTGAGATGATTATTGTGCCTGTGGTGAAGGGTGAGTGTTGGAAGGGTCTTACTGCAAACTTTTGGTTTTACTTCTGCTCTGTTTTCCCAAAGAAAGTCCTAAAAATTGTAGGTTTGAAAGTTAGCATTTAAATCCATTTGTCAACCTCCTTTCAGACCGCAGAAAAGGCAAAGGCCCAAGTACAGGATTAAAAAAATCCTTTCTCATTCTTTTTCCCTTATCTGTCTTTTTAGAGGAGAAATATGTCACTGTCCAGGCGTATACCAGTCAGGGAAAAGATGAGATCGGGTTTGAGAAAGGAGTAACCGTGGAGGTCATCCAGAAGAACCTGGAGGGATGGTGGTACATCAGGTAATCAATCTGGTCCTCATACTTTAAGGTGATGTTTAAGATGTGATTTTCTTTTTCAATTTCTTCAATGCAATATGTGACCCTGGACCACAAAACCAGTCTTAAAGGCACAATATGTAATTTTTGCCGCTAGAGGGTGCGTATTCAAAATAAACAAAGAGGCAAAGGCGTAGTTTGATGACGCCGTGACTGAGTGTGGAATCATGGGAGTTGTCGTCTTCATCCTCACAGCCGATGCAATCCGACGGGACTCGGGCAGAAATCAAGTTCATGGATGAGCTAATGATTTATTAACGTAGTAGTATGAAGCAGGGTGAGGCTGAAAGCCGGTGAAGCGAAACGAGGCCGCTGAACGAGCGCAACACACGGCTCGAAAGCAGCGGAGCTTTTATTATGCCACAGTCGACCGCTTCCGCTCCTTCCGGTCGCGCGTATGTGGAAAAAAAAAGCAGCGCTGTTTTATCATACTAGATACGTTTGAAAGTTCCGTTATAATGCTACTCTGTGCGGTCGTCACCGGTCTAATAAAACGCACAACATATTAAAGCGTCTTTGGTGTTTCCATGTTTTCTACAAAACATGCAGGCGACACAATGACACTATAGACACGGTCCGTGTCACTAGTTAAAATTGCTTATTTCTCTGGATTTAAACATTCTCCAAAACATTTGGGATAACGCAAGTACACAAATCAGCAAAATATATAACACTGTTCTAGTGGTTTTTGGATATTTTAATAAAAAAATCTTACATATTGTTGGGGGTATATTTGTAGCAATAGCCAACAATACATTGTATGGGTCAAAATGAGTGATTTTTCTTTTATGCCAAAAATCATTAGGATATTAAGTAAAGATCATGTTCCATGAAGATATTTTGTAAATTTCCTACCGTAAATATATTAAAACTTAATTTTTGATTAGTAATATGCATTTCTAAGAACTTCATTTGGACAACTTTAAAGGCGATTTTCTCAATATTTTTTTTTTTTGCACCCTCAGATTCCAGATATTCAAATAGTTGTATCTCGGCCATGTATAAATCTCTAATTTGAAAAATTGACTGGAAAAATGTCTGTTTTTGTGGTCCAGGGTCACATATGATTTACATGTTATACATGATTTACATATATAAGTTGTGTGTGGGTATACATCAGTTTTACATAAGGGGAGATATGTGTCCATAAAGAGCACTACAACTTCATCATACTTAAAACACTATGCTGACCTCTAGTGGTCAGTATGAGAATGGTAAATTCATGGAGTTATACAATTCATTAGTATTTATTTAATTATTTAATATTTCCATGTCTGGAAAGATAATACTGCTACTAATGTGTTGCAGGTATCAGGGTAAAGAGGGCTGGGCCCCAGCCTCATACCTGAAGAAACTGAAAGATGACCTTTCCCCAAGGAAGAAGACTCTGACTGGCCCTGTGGAGATCATCGGAAATATAATGGAGATCAGTAACCTCCTCAACAAGAAAGCTGTAAGCGAGAAGGACATTCAAACTGACGGAGAGGCCACCAGCCCTGAGCGCCACATCTCCAAAAGTGAAATCAGTTTACCTATCCCATATGCCCCAGAGGCTGGAGTGGCACCCACAGTGGTCACTGGTTTGGGAATGAACTCTGGATCTAGTGCTGCCCTACAAGAGAACAAGAGCAGGGCAGAGCCGGGGTCACCTGCTATAGCCCGGGTGGCACCACACAGAGTTGAAATAGGTGAGTAAAGAGTTATGACATGTTTAACTAAAGGTATACAGCATTCACATGTTCAGAATATTAGAAAAAATATTATATATATAAAACTTGAAGTATTTATTCACATAATTATAATTAAATTGTATTATATTATTTTCTAATAAAAATATATAGCTATAATTTAACAATATATATTATCTTATTTTTCTATATAATTGTACAATTATATAGCCATATTTTATATAATAAATATGTTTATTTTCCTGTTATTTTTGCACATAGGATTTGATGCCATAGGTAACATTTCTTTTTGGTAAACAGATGTTTCCTAACATTTTGTCCGGGTGTTGTGTACCTTGATAGTGACACATTCACCGTCTCTGTTGCTTAACATTCAGCCTGTCAACTGCTGTTTGTTTGCTGTTTGTTTGTTCTTGTGCTTACTTATTTGTCTAATGCCAAATGTACACTATACAACTGAAAAAAAAAATCCCATGCTGTACCTCTCACATTACATGACTTTCATCCTTGTAAATCTGTTTTGTTGTGGATGGTACGATGAACAGACTACTATTTCACATTAACAGGTTCTTAACAGACGGCATATAATCCCCAAAATTCCTGGTGTTGGTTAAAACTTGCAGTGACTGATGTGCTGTATCCATGGCACTTTGAGCTAAAAACCTAAAAAAAAACAAAAAAGATGAAACATGACATTTAAAGAGACAATGTTCGTTTTAAGCTTCTAATTTTTTTCTTTTGTTTTCTCATTGGCTATTGCTATCATTATTCTCAGTCATAACCAGGTCATTGCATTTCCCACACTACAATATTTCCTTCTAAATTCTATTATTATTATTTTTAATTTTTTTTTAAATATGCTTGTTGTGAACGCATGCTTGAGTGTGTTGGAACATGTCTCTAAACTTCTCTCTCTTAATGAGGATTACTGATGGCACTGTAATCCAGTTTGGCTCCAATTTGACCTTTTTTTGAAAATGCTAAAAAAGTTTTGGCGAAAAAAGGAAAACTGCAAACTCTCCTAATTTCCAAGTCCTACATTTGATTAAGCTACAGTAATATTTGCTGTCTTTAACTGAGAGACAGTTAATAAAATGTTTTGTATTCACCTGGCAGGATCTCCAAACCTCAGGCAGAAACCTCCTCCTCGAAGAGATACAAATCTGGTAAACAGACCAAAATCATTTATTGATATTTTAAATTCATAGAGAGCAGCGTTTACTTATTAGACAGTACTGTCTTTTTCTTCAATACTCAAGGCATTCCAGTTGCCCAAACCTCCAGAGGCCCCTACTGTGGAAGCAGAGTACTACACCATAGCAGAGTTTCAATCCAGTATCTCAGACGGCATCAGCTTCCGTGGAGGACAAAAGGCTGATGTAAGGCAGATAAATTCTTACTATAAAATGTGATTATTTAATTTTTCAAAAACTAAATAGGAACATCTTTTGACTAATGAGAATATTAAAAAGTATAAATATACTGTATAGAGTGGAGTCAAAAAGTGTTTCTTTAAAGCTTAATATAAACTCATTTTCAGGATTGAAAATTAAAAATGACTATTTCTGAAGAGCAATATTTAGGATTATTTAAGGTTTTTATGCACACTTTAATAATGTAAACAAATTTGTGACATTCATTGTAAGATAAGCATATTAATTAGTGGTAATTAGTGATGTTTGAAACCCGCTGTATAATAAATATATGCCATTGTATTAAGTAAACATGTAATATGTGGTCTTCAGGTCATAGAGAAGAATTCTAGTGGTTGGTGGTATGTCCAGATCGGGGATATGGAGGGCTGGGCACCCTGCTCCTTTATCGATAAACGCAAGAAGCCCAACCTGAGCCGGCGAACCAGCACACTTACTCGCCCTAAAGTTCCACCCCCTGCTCCACCAGTCAAGAAACAGGACTCAGAGGAATCACCTTCTCTGGCTGGTTCTGCCTCCAAAGCTCCAGAATCTCCCACTCAGTGTGTCTATGAGGAGCCGGAATATGATGTTCCCGCCATTGGTTTTGACTCCGATCTGGACAGTAATCCTCCAAAACAAAAAATAAATAATTCCCCAAAACCGGAGCCCCGTAAGTTTGAAATTAAAAGCAACCCAGCAGCTGCCGAAAGAATTGCACAGGCTGGCAAAGCATCGCCTTTACTAAAAGTGATGACCTCCCCCTTGAGGAAAAGAAACTCATTGGAGGATGTCAATAAGGAGGAGGTCATTTATGAAAATGAAGGCTTTAGGTTCTCCTCCGATGACTTTGCCAGTGGTTGCAATTCACATACCCCAAGGAGTCTCACACTGGGTCGTAAACCCTTTGGGTCCTCCTCTGGAGGAGGAAAGCCCCTCCGGAAAGTAACGCCAGATCTAAGCCGGAGTCACTCTCTTGGCCGTGCTGAGAGACACAGCCCCAAGTCATCATCAGACGAATCCGGACGCAATCCCAAAAGAGAGCCTGTCATGCGAAAAGATGTGGAGATCCGGGTTGGTCAAAGTCCCTTAGCCAGGCCCAAACCAGTGGTGCGACCCAAACCTCTGCTTACAAAGTCAGAGCCACAAAGTCCCGAAAGAATGGACATCAGCAGCCTACGCCGCCAGCTTCGGCCCACCGGAAGTCTTCGGCAAGGCCCGATCCGTGCAGTACGTGGCGGTGAAGATTCCGAGTCTGCTTCCGTTGTGTCCTCTGAGGATTCCGTCTCCTCTAGAAGTACCTCCGATCTCTCCAGCGTCTATTCCAAAGGTAGCCGAGGTGGGGAATCCGACCATGAAAGTGTGCTCTACAGGACCACAGATGCCTATGAACGGGCCCAAGAGTCAGAGGTCAGCTTCCCAGCTGGTGTGGAGGTTGAGGTACTGGAGAAGCAGGAAAGTGGATGGTGGTATGTCCGTTGGGGCGATGATGAGGGATGGGCACCTACTTTCTACTTCAAGCCAGTCAAGAATACCCAAAACGTCAGTGTACAAGAATCCCGTGATGGCCCTCTTGTTGATCTTGGTAGCACCAACAAGTCCAACAGCCTCGAGAAAAATGAGCAGCGTGTTCAGGCCCTTAACAACCTAAACCAGCAGAACCTGAGGAGTATGAGCAACCCTAGTCCACCAATCCCATCCAAACCACCGGAGGGTTTTAGCAAACCAACCGCAATGCTGAATGGTTCAGGTGTACGGATGAGGAACGGTGTCCGTCAAGCAGCAGTGCGACCGCAGTCAGTGTTTGTATCTCCACCACAGCCTCTGAAGGACACCAACATCCACACAGGGTCTTTGAGAAGAAATGAATCACTGGGTGCAGGCGACCACTTGAGGTCCACAGGCGGCGTAAGGCGAAACTCCTCCTTCACTGCCGTTCGACCGCAGGCGGTGACTGATGTACGGGTCAGGTCTGGGACCACCATTACAGCACCCGCCGGAAGTTCAAGCCCCTTGATTGCCCAGAGAAACGGAATTCCAATCTCTACAGTAAGACCCAAGCCCATCGAGAAGACACACCTCATTCACAACAACCTTCGAGAGGTTTACGTATCTATCGCTGACTACCGTGGTGACGAAGAGACCATGGGTTTCTCAGAGGGCACTAGTCTTGAAGTTCTGGAGAAGAATCCAAATGGATGGTGGTACTGCCAGGTTCTCGATGGCTTACAGGGACGTAAAGGCTGGGTACCGTCTAACTACCTGGAGAGAAAAAAGTAATTCCCCAAAAATGTTTTAAACATGCACAATTGTAATCAAAATGTAAAAAGATGAACTGACTGAAGGACTTTTGGTTTGAAACGAGAGGGACAGCCTTTTAGAAAGGAGTTTACATTAAAACTAGAGTAATGCAGGTGAATGTTTAGCAAAATACCTGCCGTAACTTTATGCCAAATGGGTGCCTTCGTACATCTTTCACTGAATGTTAAGAGGAATCGGTCAAATACCAGTGACACAACGAAAATACCAAACTTCAACTTAGTGCCATAGGCCTACAAGTACAGAAAGCAACAAACTTATTTTTGTTACAACAAATACCAGTGAGAAAGATCATTTCAGCATAGGTGCATAACCAAAAGTGCAAATCCAATCTTAAGCACTTGTAAACAAGAATATCCTGTTTAAAAATTTTTGAACAAAAAACCAACGTCGAAAGTTATCTTAGCATTGAGTGCGCTCAAAGAAACAAAGCATAACTTTGATTGTCGTTTTTTTAAAAACTATCCTTTTTTTAATTGTTTTGTGTTGATGTTTGTGTTATATCTTCCTTAGAGATGTATTTCTGCTTTCTTGTAACATCCTAAAGCCTCGTACACACCGGGACGATTATCGCGCGCTTATAGCCGACGTTTTTCGACGTGTCTTTTGTGTTCATACCCAAGCGATTTTCGCAGGTGATGAGCCGAGTGAACGTGCAAGTTCACTCCCTGACATTAGATGGCGCTTAATGAAAAACAGAAATACCCCGGTACACATCGAATCCTATTTGATCTGCAATTCCTCTCCATAACAACTCCCTCTTATCGAGATTTTTGTAGTCGCTGTCGCGTTTGTCATGAAGCCCTTTGTGTTCAGACACCAATGAGACCAGCAGCTCTACATTCATCTTGCTTCGATGCATCTTCTTGGTCTACTTACTTCCTCTTTGTCGTTAGGTATCAATGTGTGCTCGGCAAGACCGTTTTGTGCTTGAGTGCCACCAAGTCGTGTTTTACTGTAACTTCAGCAGCTCCAGGCACGTGAACAAAAGCGCCAATCTCATTGGTCGGCCAGTTTTTAACGCGGCGTGTCAAACCAAAAACGCTTTTACGCCTTGCGTTTTGTGCATCGGTGTGCACACTCACATTGGCGCCCTTTGTTTAGTCATGAGGCGTTAAACGTCGGCGATAATCGCGCATGATATTCGTCCCGGTGTGAACAAGCCTTAACACATCAAACAGTTCACTGAGTCACATCCTGTCCTGATTAGTTGCAGGTTGTTATTGTTTAAGTCTCTTTTGTCTTCCCCATTCTTTAAATATGCACAGACCAAAATGAATAAAACATGTTAAAGGAAAATAGTCTGTGAAAGCTACATGCATAGATCACCTCATGCCCACTTAATTATTGGGTTTAAACCCAAGTTTAGTTTACAAAGTGCATCTGTTTATATTAGGAGGGTAGACAGCTTGAGAGGACAGGACTTTAGATATTGCTGCTCTGTGTGTGCTAAATCTGTTCATTCAAGAAATCAGGACTGGAAAATCTTTTGTTTTGTTCAGCATTTTATCCCAGGGAAGTAGTGACATAACATTGAGCCCAAAATGTGATCACACCAAAGAAGAATTACAGACAATTGCTAGTTTGTTTTAGAGTTAGTATTTATTTTACGGCTACACATAAATACAGTGTATTCAGCAAAACCTAAATGAGGTTTCAGAACTGAGAACAAAGTATATTTAATTGTTATATCTGGAAGCACTTGATTTTTTTCAACCCAAAGAAAAGCATATTAATATGCAAGGATCATTTTTACGTTACGATATTGCTGGGCAGTATTGAAGTTAGACAATAAGCAGTTTAAACTACTATCATGGTGTTTCATTTTCAACAAAGATATTAAAATAAATTCGCAAACTTTATCTTAGTCCATAGTCCAATCTCTAATTCTCTTCTTTATAGATGTCTGAGCTCAGAATGATTACTTCCCCCTTATTCAGTCAAATAATATTCACTAACAGCATCAAACAATTGATGTTCAAGACTGCTGAAATATTTTTCTAATGAATAGTGTGAGCTCTTAAATGAGTTTAACACTACTTTTATTTGATTTAGTTTTCTGCTGGACAGTATTTTAGTGTTAAACAGTTAAAACCTTAATTACCTGCTAGATTGCAGTTATATTCTATTAAGCAGAAATTGTTTATTTTGTCTTGTTTGTTGGTTGTTGTGTGATCACACATGGATAATAATGATGAATGGAGTCGTTCATTTGTTGTGAATCAATGCATTTTAGCTTTTTCTTGAATGCACTGGTTTAAAGATGCAGAGTACTTCATCAGCATATAATTTATTTTTTGTTGTATTTATAATTTTTTATGTTTAAAAAAAAAATGTTTTTAATACTGTCTTGAGAAGATGCCATTTTATTGTCATTTGACACTCTCTTTTAAAACCTGAAATTCTTGGTAGTTCTGTAGTAATCGGCTACTGCTATATTCTGAGCTTTTTTTCCCTACCAATATGATTTTTTGTCTCTTATGTAGGATCAGCATATAATTTATTTTTTGTTGTATTTATAATTTTTTATGTTTTAAAAAAAATGTTTTTAATACTGTCTTGAGAAGATGCCATTTTATTGTCATTTGACACTCTCTTTTAAAACCTGAAATTCTTGGTAGTTCTGTAGTAATTGGCTACTGCTATATTCTGAGCTTTTTTTCCCTACCAATATGATTTTTTGTCTCTTATGTAGGGCCTCTGTTAATTAGGCAGATGAATAATGTCTCCTACTGTCTTTAAATTGGAAGCAGATTTTTAAAACAATTCTTGTGAACATTTTTCTCATTATGTGAACATGCTTTCACATAATTTTTTTAATCAGAAATGCATTTTCAACCAAGCTGATTGCTGCACCTTTAGCAACTATGGACACTTCCTTTCTCGTTATTGATCCACATATAATGCCAGATTATTTAAACAAACTATTTTTTTTTATTTCATTGTAACATCATCCTATCACTCCCAGATAAAAAAAAAAAAAATCTGAATAATAATCAGTCAATCCTAATTAAAAGCCAGCAGTAAAATGGGAACGATCAAATGACATAACGTTTTATAATAAAAACAGCAGGGCTCTGTAGTTATAGTATATGTGGATCCCTAATTGTGACTGGACCAAATTTGATTTGAGTGTTTCCTTTAAACGTTATCATTTAAAAAAAAAAACAGCAATAATGGGATTTTAAAGTTGTAATTTGGGTGATTTTGTTTTTAACTTTTACATTTGAAAATGAAAATCAAGCCATTGCACTCTCAACTGCAACTCTCTTTTTGACGATGGCATTATAGAAATGTGTCGATTCACTACAGCGCAGCGCTTGTAATGGATGTTGCTAAGCTCCATTAACACTTTGCTTTTTCTTCATTTGCGCCTATACAATTTACAAGGGAACTGTTAAGTGTCAAAATAGTTCTTATATTACTTGTGTATCTGCTAGCTTTATATTATGTGTTCTTTATTTATTTAAATTTTAATGCTTTTTTTCAGGAACAGTACTGTGTTTTACTGTTTTTTTTATTCTTCTTTCTCCTGTTCACTTTTGACATTACTCAGATGGAATGAGGAAATGTGCAATACAAAAACAGGCATCTCACCAGTTAAGAACCAACCAGTTAAGCATTGGAGAAATCTTTGTTTTTACTTATAATTCTGATAATTTTATGTCAAATAATGCCTGATTTTGTCCCATAGTTTTTTTATCCTCCAAGTCAAAATATATCAATGTGTGTTCAAATACAGTATGTTATGCGGAATGTTAAAATGCCCTGATAGATGGACACCTTCAGTCTGCCAGCCAACCATGACTTGATTTCTGCATTCATACTTTTTACCTACTGAACTGTATCTTGCTTCAAGGGGTTTAGTGACCTCACAGACCCATGGTGAATCAGTATGGAAATAATAGGGAAGCATGGGCATATCTAATCCTCTGAGGCATTTGACAGATCAGCCTGTCAAATTACAAATTTGAGATGGTGGGGCAAATCCATCAGCAGCTATATGAGCGCCTCACCACACACTGCCAACTTCTCTACATCCACCCCCTGTTACCATGGCAAACTCTATCCTAAATCCCAATCGATTTACATACTGTGTCATTGACAGATTTCTTTTTCAGTTTTGTTTAGTCTACTGAAAATCCAGGTTTGACTTAAAATAGTGTGGGCTGCATATGTTTCCTTCTCTTCCTGTCTGAATTCATTATGTGAGCTTACAACACCATTGAATTGGAATGCTTTTACTGAGCGTTTGAACATAAGAACAGAGATTTTCACTTTGGTTGAAAATGAGGAGGGTTATGAGTGACTGTCAAAAGTTTGAGTTTCTGGTCAAAAGAAGCTTTTTATGAGAGTTGAAATGTCTTCACCTTATTAAAAAAAGGCCCTCTCAGATGTAGGTTTGCTATAGTTTCTTGCTTAATGCTGTGTTTTCTTTTCTGTTTTCCTTTTGTATGATCACATTTAAATATTAAGATTTGATGTTTATAATGGAAGAATGTATGGGATATATTTACAGGAATGTTCCAGGTTCTGTGACATGGTGTTGAAAATGAATTCAACCAAACAAATCTCTTGAGAAAATGTAACTATTTTGTGAGTTATAGTGATTTTGTATGAATTTGTACGTCATTAGGATAGAAGCATGAAGTTCCACCTTCATCAATTCGAAGATCCATGCATGAATTTGTATGATGCGATTCATATTACAGAAACGTACGATTTTAAGAAAAGGTCCACCTTCATGTATTCTAAAGTCAGTGAATTTGTACGACGTGATTTGCATGGTTTGTATAAAAAAGGTCCATGAATTTGTACGATGTTCATGTGGATGATTCATATAGAAAAGTTATCATGAATGCCCACAAATTTGTACGATGTAATTTGTACAGAAACTTAAGATTTTTAGGAAAAATTAATCACCAAAGCGCCATCTTTAGGAATTCAAAGATCCATGAATTTGTATGATGTGATTCATACGGAAACATGCTTTTTTTTTTTACTAAATCTTAGCATGAAGATCCACCTTTGTGATTTCGATAGTCCATGTGTTTGTGATTCGTACTGAAATGTACAAATTCTAGAAAACAAAAGCATGAAGATCCACCCGTAAACCTAACCGACAGTGGGGTGTAACCAGATTGTACGAAAATGTCCAAATCAAATTATTATCATTATAAATCGCAATGGCCTGTTGGTTTTTAAAGTACAAGACACTTAGTATTGAACCTGGAACATCTCTTAAGCTCCTGAATCAAAATAGAAGAATGTTACTTCTTACGAAAATAAGATTGTGGGTGTATTTTTCCTGTTTGTTTGGTGTATTCTGTGGTGGTTTGTGTACGGGAGGTTTTAAACGGTGGAAGTGAAGGTGAACAGAGGGAATGTTTGTTTATGATGTTTGGTTAGAAAAGCAAGTATTTTTTTAACGATAATTAGCACTTCAGGGAAGCTTCCCGCTAGCAGCAGCTCATTATGATGTCACAGTGGCACTGCATTGTCATAACAGCACTAGTGAGGCGCAGTGTTCTTGAAACACACTAGTTATTTCTGTTGGAAAACTGACTGCAACTTAATTCAAGCGAGCAGCCTTGTCTCCAAGGCCATTGTTTCTCAAAACATGCCTTAGTGCTTGAGTACAC